GGGGTGGGGTGGGGTGGGGGGTGGGTCCGGAATGAATCCCCTGCAGATACCAAGGGCCCACTGTATAGTCAAGAAATCAGAAGAAAATTAGGATTTGGAAGGACAGCTATGAAGCAACAAGATAAGATCCCAACAGGTAAAGATAGGTAATTGAATACCAAAGTCAGAATCATCAACAAGATAAGAAGATCAGGTTTAAAGATGTATCGTTAAATATCAAAATCAGAATTATCTGTGTGTGTATGTCAGTGTGCCTTCAAATTGCCTCTTAACTTATGACAACCTTATGAATTTTGTAGGATTTTCTTAGGCAAGAAATACTCAGAGGTAGTTTTGCTAGTTCTGAAATATAGTCTGCAGCACCCACTCACAGTATTCCTGATTTCTATGTATACTTATGAAAGCCAGACAGTGAAGAAAGCAGACAGGAAGAAAATTATGAAATGTGGGCTGGAGGGAGAATATGAATCCCATGCACTTCCAAAATGGGTTCTAAAGCAAATTAAGCATGAGCTCTCCCTAAGATGCAAAACAACTAAATTTGAAGCTATTATACTATTATATGTCTTAATACAACATGACTCACTGAAAAAGGCAATAATGGTGGGGAAGTGAAAGACATTACAGATAGGCTGGGTTAATAAAGGAAACCATAGCCCTGAGTTTGTAAGACCTGAACAGTGCTGTTGATGACAAGGGCCTTGGAGGTCTCTTATACATTGAGTCACCATAGAAAATGTAATTCAGTAAAGATGAATGTTCTCTAAATAAAATATGCCCAAACTGAGCTTTTTGAACTAGGACTAGAAATAACAAGAAACATTTTTCAGTGAGAACAATCTATTACCCAGTGCCTATGAAACATGTCCAACTGAAGCCATTCATTATTCATGGATGTGATTACTCTCCACTCCTCTTCTGTAAACTGTCGGTTCATAATACGAAAGAATTCAGGAATTGAACCACTTCCTGCAATTAGAAAGTAAAATAGGAATCAATGAGCACTACAAATCGATGTGATATTAAGAGGAATGCAAGAGATCAGCTTATACTGAATGAGAC